GGACGCCGAGACCCCCCGCTCCACCCCCGGGGGCTGTGAGGGGAGAGGGACGCTGAGCCTCCCACCTCTGGTTCTATAAGGGGAGAGGGGCCAACGCCCCCTTTCTCCTCCCCCCCGGGTTCCGTGAGGGGAGTGGGAGCGACCCCCTCCCTTCCTCCTTCCTGTGTTCGTGAGAGGAGAGGGATCGACACCCCTTCCCTGGGATCTGTGAGGAGAAAGGGATAGACCTTCCCTTACTCCTCTCTGGGTCCTTGAGGGGAGAGGGACCGAACCCCACCACTCGCAGGCTGTGTGAGGGGAGAGGGACCCACCTCCATCCCCCTCTCCCCGGGTCCTGGATGGGAGAGGAACTGAACACACACACACACACAAGGTTGCTGTGAGGGCAGAGGGGCCCTTCTTTCCTGGGCTGCTGTGAGGGGAGAGACCCTTCTCTGGGGTGCCAGGGGGAGGACTGACCCCTCAGTGCTCTGCCTGCTGCTTTTAATGTGGGGCAGCATGACTCTGGTTCCTCTGAGTATTTTAATCCTCTCCTGAGGAGGTTTTTGCCAGGTGGAGACGTGAGAGTCTGTCTGCCCTGATCTGTGTGTGCTGGAGCAGGCTGAGACGTCCCTGCACTGTGTTCTTCCTCTGACCTTGCACCATGTGTTCTCCCTTCCCTGTTCTTCCCTGTCCTCTAGATCTGGCATGGAAGGTGCACAAATGCCTTTCATCACTTCCCAGACTCCTGGTACTGGGAGTGTACTCAGTTCCCTGAGTGCTTGGAGGTGCTGACATACCTCCTTCCAGTTCCCACACTGAAAAGAAGCACAGACACTCCTAATCCTTGTGGAGTTTGTTGACCTGCAGGCCTGAATGTGAGGGACAGGGAGGATCTCTGCTGATTTTCCTTTTCTGCCTGCTCCCTGTGCGTGGAGAAATCGCTGCAGCTGTGCTCCTCCTGAAATCTGTCAGCTGATGGAAGAGGCTGTTGTCAGACACATCCTGCCTTGCAGCAGTGTGTTAAAATTGCAGACTTTGCTCCTAGAAGATACTGATGGCTGGTTGGTTTGTTCTTGCAGGAAAAGACTGTACCAATTCCTGAAAAACTGAATGAATGGGCACCACGACCTCCCCCGGAGTTCGTTAGAGATGTCATGGGTAAAGATTCTGTTCTTCACATATCTCTGGGGTCAGTCACACTTAACTTAGAGAAGCATTTAACAGGGAAGGACAGAGATGGTTTTCTGTTGCTCATTTTGCTGGAGAAAAGAGGTATAAAATGTGCTTTGAGAGTTGCTTTTAGATGTTTGATTTGGTTCTTGGGTTCCACTTTTCTGCTGGTTGTCAGAACACAAAGTGAACAAAGCCTGTGGCACTCTAGCATGTGGGCTGCCTGCAGTGGAATCAGCTGCTGCTCTGGTGATGACAAGTAAATGATGATAAGTAAATCTGTGCTTTCCACGGATCTGAGAGTGCTCTGGAAGCTTACAGTTACGAAGTCCTTCTCCTGTCTGCTTTGAGCCTGAGCCTCAGGCCATGAGAAACAGGCATGTGTAGCACGGAACTGTGCAAGGACCCTGACCCAAGTATTCTGTGTACACTTTTATCTGCAGGTTTAAATATAGTAGCTGTGGTAAAAATCCTATCTGCATGTAGAAATCCTGTCTTTCTTTGGGACCTTCATCCTTAGTGCTGATCCTTTCTAGAGGCTGACTTGTTCTTATTTCAGAATCATTGATCATGGGCTAAAGTTTTTATGGGCTTCAGAATAAACTTTTCTGCTTGTTGTAATTCCCTCATGGCTGTTTCAAATAGGTTTGCTGCATGTTGAGTCCAACTGTCTTGTTTTTCTGGAAGCACTTGACATGCTGGGATTCTGTTGGTATCAAGAGCACCCCTGTTGCAGTCCCAGCTGCTGTGTTTTAATTAGGTGTCTTCTTTGAGGCATGTCTTCCTGTGTTTTGCCTTGAGAACTGGCTTGGAAGGCAGAGGAAGAGAATGGAGTGTGATGCTGAAAGCTCCTGTGAGATTTCAACGTGCAGGCTGATGCCAAGAAGAGAGAGCTGTAGGGATTTAATTTATGAAGAAACAGTCAAAAACTGTCAGTGGTACCTGTCTTGTATGGGGAAGCACAATGTGATGAGGTTTATCAGCCTTCTCTTGACCTTTTATTTTTTGTGTGAGATGCTGAATGTTGGTCGGAAGCAGGCTCAGTAGGATGTTTTAGCTCACCTCTGCCTGTGAGAGGATGGAGAGTGCATTTGATCTCTAGTTCTTTGAGTGCCTTGATGTGCAGCTCAGGCTGGGCTCTCTCCAGGGGAGTACTCACCCAGTAGGACCTGCAGTGCCCCATAGGTGTGTGGTTTTGCTGCTCACTTTGGCTTTGATTGTGATTTGAGCTTATTTGCAATGGTGACACACTCTGTATGTTGTTAGTAGATTTTCGTCTTACAACACCCTTTCATGTGTCCCACCCCTCAACACCTAACTGTGGTCATTTGTGAGCACCTAAATACTTTCTTTCCTGGTAGACTTAACTATTCCCTGTCATAGGTTCCAGCGCTGGAGCTGGGAGTGGGGAGTTCCATGTGTACCGGCATCTCCGTCGGAGAGAGTACCAGAGGCAGGATTTCATGGATGCCATGGCTGAGAAGGTCAGCACAACTCTTTGTCATTCCCCCCACCCCCAACTATTTGCTATTCATTGCAAATCTGTGTTTTCTTTGAAAGTCATGTACAAATAATTCTGTTCTGAGCCACCCCTCGTGAGAGGAGTCTGTAGGAGTGTGTGATACGTGGTGTCTGTGTCAGTACTGAAACATTTGGTGCTTCGTGTCAGACATGCTCCATTCCTGTGCTCCTGGGGGTCCTGGCACACAGTAAAGCTGCACGTGAATGTGTGTGTTCTCAGGTTGGCTTGAAAGTGCTTTAAAAACTAGAAATCCCTAATATTATCACTGCTTTGCACAGACAGAATCAAGGCAAGTGCCTGTGCACAGAGTGCAGGTGTTTCTTTTAAGTCTCAGTGAAGTAGAATGGCCTTTCTTTCAGAGAATAGTTTTGTTATAGTCTCTCTTGGCTAAATCCTTTGAACCATATGTTAGTGTTTGTGTCTCCGATTATTCTCTTGTTTTTACTGAAACATTCATTAGGGCAGAAGCCCAAGCTCCCTCATCTCTTCTGGTGAGGATCCCTCCCTCTGAAGGTCTCAATGCTTGGCTCAGGCTGCAGGTTACCAGTGCTGTCTGTACAGGAGTCACCCCTAGGAACATGGCTGTGTATAAAGAAGCCAGACAGAATCTGGCAGAGCTCCCTTCTGTATTTTGCTAAAAGACTTCTCCCTAAAAGGACATGACTTTTCAAAGAAGTATTTTAACTTAGATTGTGACCAAAGTATGACATGTGATCAATTACAGCAAAGACTAGATGAGGAATTCCAGAAGAAACTGGAGAGGAATAAGATGGTTGCAGAAGAGCAAACAGCAAAACGCAGAAGGAAGCGGTAAGGGCAGATTGTTCCCGGGAGGCTTGACATGGAAACCCTCACGCCCTGTGCCTCATCTGTAGCTGCATGCTTGGGATGAACACTGTCACTCTGTGTCTGCATCTATCAGCTGGGGAGTCTGGCTGTGGAAATCAAATTTGTCAGTGTCGTTGTTTGATTTCTAAAGGTAGCTGTAACCCTGACAGGCTTTGCTGATGTGGTCTCTTCTCCCTGCCATGGCTAGCAGGATAACGTTGGACTGGTTGAACTGCTTTTGCTGACACTGTGGTCTTGACTGCAACATGCCTTACTGCATGTTTGTTATAACTATGGCAGGAAAGGTTTGTGTGTATATCTGGCTTAAATTAATATCTGAATCATTTGATACCAAGCAGCTTCAGTGCAAAAGTGGGTGCTGCATGATGGCTAGGCTGCTTCTGCCTACCTCACTAAACTGGCTGGCAGGGCAAGTCTAGAAGTATTAAAAAATATTAAGTCCATCTTTATCTTAACTTGCAGACAAAGTAAAACAGTTGCAAGATTGATGCTCTCAAGAAATAGCCTCAGCATTGGAGTGCAGTGATACGAGACTTGTAATCCCACTGTCTGTGTCCATGATCTGTTTTAGAAATAGCAGGGAATCATGACTTGGCTCTTTCACAGGGTCTAACCCTGAGCAGCCTCTCCCTTGCTGCTTTGCATCCTGTGGCTGAGAATTGCTGTGGAAAGGCCTGTGGAGAGTGACTCACTGGCATGTTAACACAGAAGTGCACAACACAAACACTGTTGCCATCTTAGTTTCATTTAATGTGGTCCAACAGATGGCCAGCAAGTCAGATCTGGCCTGCTGCCTCCTCCCTGGCTGAGATGGAGAACAACTGTTCAAACAGCAGATGCTGCCTAAGCACTAACACCTCCATGTCCCCTTTCTGCAGTCTGATGGTGTAGGTACCAAGTGGCTTTGCCCTGTAGGAGCCTCTCTAATTTCCCTCACCACCCTTCTCTCTTGTCCTGACCTAACAGGTGCAGTTCTTGGCTCTCTGTTTCAAGAGAATTCATTTACGGTGTTGAGAGAGGAACGTGAGTCCCAGGCTGCTCTGCCTGTGGTTGCCATTAGCTTGCTTTGTTGCCTTTGCTGGGCAAACAGAACTGGGTCAATTCCCTCTTAGCCCTAGTACTACTCCTAGGGCCCAACATCCTGAGGGAGTACAGCCAAAGAGGAAGGTCAAAACATACTGCATCATTTTTTTTCAGTTAAAGCGTATATTACTGGTGATATGTTTTCCCCAGTGTTCAGTTCCAGCAGTCTGGGCTTTGACACCATTTTCCCTTTCTGTTTATTAGGCTAGGTAGCTAAAATACAGGGGCAGTTTCATTTCTGTTCCACCTGTGTTGGAGATTCTTGTTTATCATATAGTTTTGGCTGCAGTGGCTTCATGGAAGAATTAAAAAAAACCTCAAAACAACATAGAAAAGTTTCTGTTGATCATGTGCTAAGTTTGCTTTAACTGAATTTTCAGTTGAGGCCACATTTAAATTGAACTTCTGAGATCAGCTTTTCCAGATGTCTGTAATGTGTCCTTTATCAGTGTATGAATGTGCAGAAGCTTTACAGTGTAGGATATGTCACCGTGTTTTTTCTTTGCTTTGTAGCCAGAAGTTAAAAGAGAAGAAACTGCAAGCTAAGAAAAATAAACTTGAACAAAAGAAGCAGGAAAAAGGTCAGTAAAAATTTAGTTTTCTTTTCTCCAGACTCAGTTCTGTTCCCTAATTGAAGCCTAGAAGCTTTTGTTCCACCCTCTGCTCCAAGCATTCTCAATACATGGATTGAAGCCTGAGCCTTAAGCTTGTTATTTTAGCTAATGTTTCAAAATCCTCTTTGAAAGCCATTTATGTGGAGATTTAATCTTACAAATAGCTTGGCTGTTTGTGAATATTTTCCCTTTATTAGAGGGAATTTTGGACAGCAGACATTGGAGCCTGAGTGTGTTGTTTGTGGATGCTTTGCCCCAGCTATTCTGACAAACTGCAGATTTAGAGCACCCAAAAGTCAGTATTGTTCAAGGCTGTGCTTTTTTTTAAGTATGTTTTGAATGAGTATGGGAAAACAAGTGGAAAAAAAATGCACAGCTTGGGCAGCAAGAAACTGAATTACAATTTTGTGTGTAAGACATTGAGCCACCTTGGTGCCATCTGTTCCACATAACTATTTTATTTGCATGGAAATAAACATGAGAAACCTGACTGCCTCTGTTTTCCTGCAGTCTTGAACAACGTTCAGCAATGTCAGTGTAACTGTTTGCTCAAACTTCTACATACTCATTGCTTCCTTTCAGTGAGGCTATTTCAACTTAGGCTTTCAAATAGTTGTCCTTTGTGAGTGAGCACTGACTGCAGGAATTCTTGGTCATAAAGTTACAGCAGTTTCTGGTAATTCTGCTGAAACAGTGGCTTGCCTGACAGATCTACCTTGTTTCTGCTCTGCCTTTCAGAATTGGATCTGTTTCAGCTGAATCACTGCCAACCTTCCATGTAAACACAGGAGGACAAATTACTTGCTAGGTTAATTTTCTTCATGACAGCAAGTCAGTGTAGCAGAGTGGATTTTTCTGGGGGGTGTTTTGTTTGGGTTCTGTTATTTTTTGTAAGTTACTCATTAATGAATTGTAACAGGGAGGAGAATTTAAGTATGAGTCAACATACTTTTGTTCATTTTGAGTGAGCAAACCAGAATACCCATCCCTTAGGGAGTGGCTGGGAGGGAGGAGAGCTGGAGCAGGGACTGGCACTGTGCTTTGGGACTATTCCGTACCAGTTGTGAGGCTGGAGTGATTTTGTTTGGCACAACATCCTGAAGGACAGAATTCGAACTTCCTTGTCTTTAGAACAGTTCTTAACTCTTTCATGGTTTGGTTCTCTGTGTAAAATAATTATAATAGTAACAGTAATAATGATAACAGTATCAGGGGAGATAGAAGCCCCTGAGAGCAATTCCTCGTCTGCTGAGAACAGCCTTTTCTTTGTCTAGATTTTTGTGTGCCCTGGTTGAGATCTGAGTGTTTTTCCACACTAACTGAAGTGTATTTGTTGGATGTGGCAGGCAAGCATTTATCTTCCTTTATGAATAAGTGAATAAAACCTCTGAATTGCCATCCTACACCTTTATTGTAGTACAAACATTAGAAGTAAGGGCTGGCACTGAATCAGGCCAGCTGTTAAAGTTGATTTATTGTACAAACGCCTAATAAAAACTGGAAGTTTGGAACTTCACCACGCGGTGGCATCAGACCACTGAGCCTAACTCTTGTGTGGTCAGGGCATGGCTGAGTGTGGCTGGGCCTGAGGAACAGGAAAGAACAGGGAATGGCTGTTAGATTTAGGTCCAACTTTATGCTGTACCTCATTTTCATTATAGGTGATTTAATTTCCAGTAGGTGTTTTCTGGTCTTTTAGCAGGTTTTCTGTGACCCTCATTAATCTTACACATGTCTTAATGAATTTCTGTACTTGCTGTGTAGCAAACAGTCTGTAAAGGTCCATGGCACCTTACGGAGTTTCTGTGAACTTGGATAGGTGTAGGAATATCCCAAGTCTTGCCCGTGGCTTCCCAGTGTAACAGTAATCTGTGACCTTTGAAAGTCCATGCTGACCTGCTGAGATTGGGAGTGAGGTAACCTAACTCCTCAGTGTTTGACTGCCTTTGTTTGAAGAAATAATGTTCCAGAGGAGGTGGAGCTGTTTAATGGTGGACTTGGTAATGCTGGAGGTCAGGGAATAGTTCCCCAAGGGGCAATTTGATTTTCTGAGCTCCTCATTGCTTGGTAGAATTAGTATAACCTGATGTGTTTCCTGAGTATCTGGGACTGCTTAGTTGTGAGATATTTAACTAGGAAGACACAGGAGAATATGTTCTCCATCCCTGCTAATTAGTGTGACCCAATACACGTTTGCTTAGCACCTGAGGCTGTTGGGAAGTACATGTCTTCCTTGTTATAGATTCATCCTGTTTGTGTTTGTAGAACCTGATCAATCTCAAGAGCAAGGCAGCAGCGAGGATGATGAAGAGGATAGCAAGGAGGAGGAAGAGAAGGAAGATGATGCTGAAGAGCCAAGTTTTGTGATGGGAAGAGGATGAGGCCTTTCAGGGACAGCTGGAAACACTGTTCATTGCTTTATATTCAGGAGCATGAAAGCCTTTCATCTCAGCCAAGCAGAACCCATTGGCGCACGTTACATCTGCTTAACGAGGAATGGCCTTCACGTCACAGGCCCAAGGGAGAATGATAGAGAAATGCCAAATAAGAGATTTTTTTCTTAATTGCTTGTATAACTGCTGTGCAGTCTGCTCTAAGTTTGCTCTAAAGAGTCAGCCATAAGTCTCTGAGACCCTAGAGTTCTTTCTAACCTGGCCCAGAGTGTTTTTCTGTCTGAAAGCTAAAACATAACCATTACCACTTAAAGGAAATACTACTGTGAGGGCTACGTATCCTACTTACGTCGAAGCTGGTAGCAGTGGGATACATGAATCCAAGGGAGGAGTTTAACCTAAAGTAGAAAAGTGGTCTGTAGCCAGACTCTCCTGCACTGTGAGTGTTCTGATTTTGGGGTTTTGTATGGGGTCATCTCTAACCCAAAGAAATCAGTTTATGTTGCTAGACAGGTTCTATAGATTTTTAATCGGGATCCCTTTTTTATTGCTAAAACTTTTCCCTATTGCTTTTCTTCCATGTTTTTTAAATTAATAAAAGGGATGTGTTGGATTGTTCTGTCTTCTATTTTTGTTTTTCGAAGAGGATTTCAGTAAAATAAAGAGATGCTGCAGTGCTGCAGGAAGGGACAAAGAGATCAAGTGACGTGGCACACATGAAAATGTGGAAAAGGTGTTGGTTGCATGTCATTTACTTTTTGCTTTTGGATTGGAACAATATCTTTTCCCAAAGATTATGTCTGTAAAGCCTCTAAATCCTGTGGCAGAAAGGCTTGCAATGGAATCATTTTGCTTGTGTTCAGCTTCATGCAATGACACCTGCCTTTGTCTCTGCTTGAGCTCTCTGCTTTGCACTTCAGATTCCCTGGTAGGAGTCATAACATCTCTCTATATATATTTACTTATTGGTGCTTAAATGATAAGCATAGGAAGTGGTGTTTTATTTGTAACTTTGGTTGTTGTCTTTTCGGTGTGTCTTGAATGAGAAGTGCCTGCCAGCTTTCAGACATGCTCCTCCCAGAGCCTTGCATCCACAGCGTGGTGCTACTTCTCAAGCCTTGGTTAATGCCAAATTATTTTAAGCAAAAACAGTAAAAAGGGAGAAGCTCTTTTTTAGATTTAGGCTTTGTTATCAGTGCTGCCAGAAATCCTGCATTTTCTCTGAGCTGGCTTTATGTAATGGCTTCTCAGTGGTATTGCCATGGTGGCTGGGAAGCAGATGTGATCAAGTGCAAGTCATGCTTGTGATTAGTTCCCCTGTACATACCCAAAGACTTTAAAGCTGGATAAGTTCTGACCTGCAAGATCCATAGTCTCACCACCCTCCTGGGTTAGAGATCTGCATGGAACTGTTTTCTGCTTAATCCCCACAGAGGCAGGTGATTCAGTGCAAGTTGTGGCAGTGTGTCATTCCTAGCACTTCAGATGCAGCATGGATTTTCTGCAGCTGGCATTTTCCTTGTGGAGAGATGAGTTATGGGCAGGCAAACTCTGTGGATATTGTCTTGTAGGATGAGCCATAAAAATGTGCTGGTTTTTGTGGACAGAGAAGAACTGAGAGTCTCACAATAAACAAAGCTGTTCTGCCTCTGAGCTTGTCAGGCCTTTGGGCAGAGTGAGTGCTGTTCTGCATTAATTAGAGCAGATGTTGCTGCATGAGGACACACTTCCCTCAGCCATGAGGACGATGGACTCGAGTTTGTCTTGCTGATTGAACAAATTGTGTTGCGTGGCCTCATCCTGCCTCCTTAAGATGCCATCGTTACCCATGCTGAATTATTCATGTTCTCCATTTTCTGGGAATGCTGAGTTTGTAGGTGAAATCCATAAACAGCAAATAGAACATGTTGGTGAAGGTGGTGTCTGCCTTCCAGTCTGCTGGGGTGGTGACTGTAGCAGGAGGAGCTGTATTTGGTAGGTGTTGCTAGGAATTCCGAAAACTACTCCGTGTTGTGGTTGTTTGTTTCTGTAGGATCTCGTTGGGAATACAAAGCACTTCAACGGGAAGGTTTGAAGGGATGTTTGTTTGTTAGCAGAAAATGCAGGTATTCTGTGACCTCAAAACAGGGAAGATGTCACCCATGGAGTAGAAAAAGGGAAGTGCTCCTGTGTTTAGTAAAATGAGGAACAGCTCTACTACTGCTTCCTGCTCCAAATACTGCACTGACTTATAACTTACAGGCTTGAAACTGCCAAGGAGTTTGACCTGCTTACATTAAATTCTTGCTCTGGATTCTTCTCTGGAAGAGTCCATCTCCTTTCTCTGGTAGAGACTAATCTTCAGGGGCTAAAGTTTGCTCTGTTCTATTTCTACACGTGTTCGTGCAAGTTGTGGGACCTGAGAGACAGCAGTGTTAAGTGCTGAAGCCGAGCACAGGTATTCCTGGTCTCAGAGGTGAAAAGCACACTCAGGATAACAGATGTATCTGTCTCTTTATTAGGTTTCTAGGAATCGTTTTGGGGTTTTTTAGAAATTGTTTTCTTTTGCCTCTCCCTTGCCTCAGGCAGAAGGGAATTCAGGATGATGGGATTATCCTGTGACAAAGCTGACCCATTGTACTGCCTTTCAGCATTTTCTTTATCTCATTTCCAGGGATGGAACTCCCTCTCTTTCCCATAAGGCTGTCCCAATCCTTT